TTCTGATATCACAATTCTTTGACATAATGAAAATAATAGTAATATTGTAACTCAAACTGATAAAAAGTTATAATAATGCAGATAATAAAGTTCGACCAACCTTTGCGATAATCTTATTTGGACTGATTTTTTAATTGAGATCTTATCAAACTGTTTCCTGATTACGAATTAATGATGCTTTTCTTTAAGATCCAGGATTCGAAACAATTAAGCCGGATTCACCTTAAAAATTCCTTAGGCCGTAAATGTTTACCGCAAAATATATAAAAATAGGGTTTTGTTAGTGATTTACTTTTATCCAATCAACCCGGCAAAGGTAAACAGGACAAATTTTCGGGACAAAAACCGGTCTCGATCGTTTAATCTCGAATTTTCCGGCACATTTAAATTTGTCACGTGACGCAAAAATAAATGGTAATCTTTGTATTTTAGCCAAACTATCAGACAGATCGAAATTAACCATAGTGATCAGAAGTTTTTAACGTGAGAATCATACCTTATGGAACCCTGCTTTGATCCTAGAAAAAAATATAATATAAATAATAGTAATATAAAGAGACTTGCTTTATTAAATACCTAGATAAAGTAAGTACAATGATTGGGGTGTTATTCTTACCCGAGACAAACGAAATTTTGCTATAGAAAAATAGATCAATCAAGAAAAAAAATCGCATTTCACGGTCAAAAATTTGAAGCTCAAATTATCGGTAAACTTTATTATTTTTTGTTAACATATTATCAATTTTAATTACAAGATAAAAGCGATTATACTGCAAAAAAGCATTAAATTTTGTTTGTATACATCAACTTGAAAATTAGTAAAGCCGCAATTATTAAAAGTAGTTGAATTAAATTATAAACTAATATAAACTAATCAAGCCTGAAAATCGAAAGAGAGCAGGTTGAAACCAAAAGCTTTAACTAGTTCGCGCTTTCTTCTTAGTGGGTGAATAGATAATTCGTGTGGTCATTTTTTGACAGGTCTTGCTCTCATTATCATTGCTCCAAAGAAAGTCTTGTATGGATTCCGAACTTTCGGATAATAAACGCTAGATATGGAAATGTTAGCTCCACATATATATATATATTTTCTAATCATTTATACAAACCTCATATTTTAATAGACCCATCACTATCTCGTATGATTCCTTCATAT